TCCTCCACTTCTACTAGCTAGACGACCCAACCGGGGTCACATAGGAGGGGGGGGCTGGACCCCCTCCTGCGGTTCCTGCCTGAGGGGCGCCTGTATCCAGATGGATACTACAGTGTTCACCAACAGGTGCCTCCGACGGCGTGACTGCTGAAGTACGTTCGAGTTGCCCTCTGTCTGTTGAGCTTCGGTTGTCCTTGCCTACGACCCGCCTCCCGCGTGCGCACGCCACACCTTTTATCTTCGTTCGGTATCTGCAGGTACGGGTGCCCACTCTCGTTTATAGTGGGCGTGGACGACGAAAACCGCACGTGCGTCTTGGGACAGGGCGTGCTGCGGTCGGGAAGCACCGAAACCTTCAAGTGGTTCTTGGACTCGTACGAGGAACCTGCTGGTGGACGGAGGCCAAAGGTGTGCTTAGCAACCCGAACCCTGTGGACGGTTGGAGCCTAGAGCTAGCGGTGGGCGTGGACGGATGTTTGACATGCAAAGTTGCCAGCTCCGGAGTCGACAACGCGTATCACATGTCGTCCATTCGCACCTCCTTGTGTCTACGCCGACTTAGTACTTCCCCTACACGATAATAACGTTGTGGGGGCGTGTATGCCTTCGTCTCTTCCTTCGTATAGGTCATGCTGACCGACGCAGGCCAGGCCATGGCCGGGGCCCTGAGATAGTGGAAGACCACCGTGCACCTGTGGTGCTTGTGGCATCTCAACTAGACGTGGTCAAGCACTGTTCCTCGTCGTTTTCTGACACGAAGACACGGGAGAAGATGCTCCGTCTATTCAGAAACGCTGAGTACGCCGCTACGCCGAAGGTGAGATTAGTGTGGGCTGCAGTTGCTTCTTATCTTGCGTCAATCATATTCTGCATTGCCGCCTCTGCCGCGACTACGTGAGTGGGTGATTTAATCTCGGCCACCTCGATCGTACGTCCGTTGCAGGCCTTCGCTACGTACCGGGCTGACCTGGAGAGGACCGTCAAGGGCAAGAAGTGCGACGAGTACATGCGGGACCTTCTCGAGTAAGTGATGGTGCCGTATTTAAAATCAAGCGCGCGAGTCATGCTGCGTAACAGCCGTGCGAACTTGCTGCACCTGCTCCGTAGCAGAGGTAGCCACAGACGTTTTCTATGCTCAGTCTTTTCGTCGGAAAATGTTGATCTCGTGCTGGTGCTGTGAAGGGAGAAAACGAAGTGGGCCTTCTCTTGCCGGCCGACAGCGCTCACGCTGGGTATGGTTGCCACGCAGCGCACCGAGGGCATGTTCGGGGTGGCGAAAAAGTCCGGGATACACAAGAACCTGTCTCTGTGCGCTCTGTGGGACCGCCTCCAACATGTGTACCAGACAATGGACATTGAGCACGGCAGGTGAGATGAACTGAACCCGGACCTGTAGAGGTGTGAACTCAGCTTTTACTACGTCAATGTGCGACGGTGCACATGGGCGCACGTTGTTCGCCTCGGTGACATCCTCGGCGAAAGTAATTGTCGAAGATCAAGTCCTTAGTTGAAGCCTCCTCGACCGTGAGCTCTGACGAGAGTTTGCCATAGCACGCCTTCAACTTCCTTCCGAAGCGGAAGCTCACAGGAGTGCAATTCACTAGTGGGCATTCCGGTTGACCTCGTTCGTCCAGGGTTGCAAGCCCAGCCGTGAAATTGGAATTGGCGTTTCCGACGAAGCACTTGGAGGTATTTCTCGCCCCGATCCGGGAGGAGCTCGAAAGTGTTGGCACCAGCCAATACTGCCAACTGGTGAGAAGTTCGGAGAGTTTTCCGGTTTCCTTTTTCCTTCTTATCCCTGCCGTCTGTAAGTTGAACATCCACGTTTCTCCGTGCGCAAGACACTAACATGTGCGCAGTCGACACATCTACCCGTTTGGAAACCCTTCCTGGTGCGTACCGTACTGGAAGCAACCCTACCACATCACAGTGCGCCCCTGTCCACTGCACTCTGCAGGAGGCTAAAGACGAGCTCGGAGGATCCCAGTCGTGCGACGTAGAAGTCGTCTGCGTAAGAGCAGCAGACGCCGAAGGCCACCCCGTGCCTCTGGAGGGTGGTGTCCTGCGTCAACAGCTTGAGGCCGCACACTTCGACTTCAACGTTTGCGAAGAAGCGCCGCCCGACACTGACCTGGAAATCGACTGCAAGCTTGGCCCTGAGGCTGAATCGACCGGAGACAACACCGTTTGGGCGCGTGCGTCTTTGGAGGCGCTGTTGGACCTCGTCAGCCGAGTTCTCGTCCATCTTGCGGCCGCCGTGCGGTATAAGCTCACGCCTTCACGGCCGAGCCATGTTGTGGTATTCGGCCCGGGTGGGTTCTACTTGTGCTCTTGTCTGAAGCTTCTGCGCCACGGGCTACCATGCAGGCTCTACTTTTCCGTGCTAGCTCGCTTCATCGGCGGTAAGTACGGGGGAGTCCTGCTTAACCACGAGTTCGACGGCAACAGCGTGCACACGCGCTGGCGGCAATCACCAGACGGCAGCGACGCGCCCTGGACCGCCTCCAGAGTGTTGGAAGGGGCAGGGCACGGCGACGGCTGGGATGGATGTGATCACGGCCAAGACGACAACTTCTGGGGGCCGACGGACGACGACGACGGCGGGGAGGGCGGCGTGCACCCCGCAGAAAGTGCGGCAAAAGCAGCCGCAGAACGATCGGCGAGTGACCATCGCCACGTGTTCGCGACTCTGATGGCCAAGAACAAGGAAAACGTCACCGAAACAAGGAGGACGGCGCCACACGCCAAAGCCTTGGAGATACAGGCTGAACTGGACAAGTGGGTGAGGTTTCAGCTTGCCGATGCTACCGGCGAGAACAAGAGCGGGAATCCAGCGCAGGTAAAAGCGAAAGGGAGGCCCAACAAATCCAAGTCGGAGGGATCAAAGCAGGACCGACACGATGACAACGGTGCGCCTGCCGACAGCGGGTCTGTTCAACCAGTCGGTAACCCGGAAGGGCGGACGGACAAGAGCCGGAGGGAATAGAGGATCAAAGACGTCTCTGGCGCTGGGTCTGGAGCAAACACCCGTCGGCTTACCAAAGAGAAAATGTCGTAGCGTACAACACGTAGTCCCTAGTAAAATATCAACGGCCGGGACAAATAGATAGTTCGAATCGTGTGCCGCCCTTGTCATCTCGTTCCCGGCGTTGCCAGTCCATATCACCTCTTGCGTGCTAACTCTGCACAGCTACTAGCGGACGTTGCAGGCTAAGCCTGATGTTTGGAATTGCACACGACAAAGTACGCGCTATGCGTGCTATCTGGCCTTATCTGTCTGCGCGTTTTTCCGTTTAACTTTCTGTCTGTTGTTATTTTTTTTTCGCTGGGCCGTGATTATGTTGGGGCGTTCTTGTTTGCCTACGTTATGCAGGCGCAGCTAACCGAGTGTCGGACCTGGTCGTTAGCGTTGAATGCAATGTTAGTCTTGCACGCAATGTCTGTCAACATCCTCTCCAAACAAACCCTGGTCGTTGGGGTGTCCATTTTGTAGGCCGGCAACGCGAGGTCCTCTGTGCCGTCGGTAGCAACACCGTGACTTCAACTCTCTCTTTGGCCCTCAACTAAACCTATCAATTTATGACGTTTTGGCGGGGTGGAGCTACGTGTACGCCGAATACCGTCTCGAGACTGTCCAGGGAAACCCCGCACTCCCCTCTTCACCCATATCGCCCATGTGTCTGTTCTAGGGACGCGGACATATACATCGGACATGTACATTCCTCCTAGACGCACATCGGAGAATAGCTCGTTCTTCGACATGGCACGTGGGGGCGCCGTGGACCCCGAAATTTAGGCGTTTCTCTGCGCCAACCGGATGAGTTTCACCCGCCACCGACTCCAACGACACTCGCTACCTCTAGCGACACAGCATACATTGTTTGGTGTCGATTCGTCGCCTTTGGTTGAAGAAATGAGTGGTGTCGTAGATAAGGCTTCACTATGATACCACTCTCGGGGCGGCCGGACTCCTGCGGGTGACGGTATCTCCGCAGCCACCGGGCCGATGCAGCCGAGTAGCAGCTTCCGTGATAACTGAAGATCGTGGCTTTCCGATAAACTCTGTGCGCTGAGATGCGGGTAGTGTCGTGTCTAATCCTATTTACGACACCATCCCCCGGGGCGCCGTGGCCCTCGGATGTAGGCGTTCCACCTAAACCACCCGATGAAATTCACCCGCCACCGACTCCAACGACGCCCGCTACCTCTAGCAACACAGCGCAAATGGTTTGGCGTCGAGTCGTGGCCTTTGGTCGAAGAAATGAGTGGTGTTGTAGTTAAGCGCTTAACAACGATACCAGGCTCGGGGCGGCCGGACCCCAGTGGGTGATCGTATCCCCGCAACCACCGGGCTGATCTAGCCAAGTAACGGCTTGCACGATAGCTGAGGATGGTGTGAACCCATNGTGTCGTAGTTAAGCGCTTAACAACGACACCACGCTCGGGGCGGCCGGACCCCAGTGGGTGATCGTATTCCCGCAACCACCGCGCTGATCTAGCCAAGTAACGGCTTGCACGATAGCTGAGGGTGGTGTGAACCCATTCGAGTCGGTTTTACGTTGATTCGCGCTCTGTGCGCCGAGATGCGGGTGATGTCGTAGTTAACCTTATCTACGACACCACCCTGCGGCACCACCGTTAACCCGTGGGTAAGCACATGTCGGCTGGCACAGGTCCGATTGAGGTCATCGACGGCTCTAACGATAGCTGCGGGTCGTGGCAAGGTAGCGTGAGTAGTTCTGGGCTGCGGTACGCTCATTGGATCGGCGTAGACCACGTGTGGAGGTTTATACCGAGCTCACGATACTGCTGTGCCCCTTCCTGAATCTGTAACTCCAGAACCACCGAGTCGAATGAGATGTCAAAGTACTTGCGCGATCGCTGCGGGCCGTGATTACCTAACGAAGTCAGTTGTACAACGATTGAAGCCCTGTAGGCTGAGATATGGCCTGACACCTGAGGGGACCCTCCCTGTGATGCTGCGGAACCCCATTTCCGACGATATCTCCGCAACCACGTAGCGGATTGAGCTGAACAAGAGCTTGAGTGATAGCTACGGGCGATGGTATTCTAACGAAACTACTTGGACATTTTTAGAGCCCTGCTGGCTGAGATATGATCGGATACGTGAGGGGATCCTGCCGATGATGCTGCGGAACCCCCGTTTCAAGAATATCTCCGCATCCACGTAGCCGATTGGGTTGAGACATAGCTTCTGTGATAGCCTAGGACCGTGGCGTTGCAACGAACCTGATTTGACCCTCATTGGAAGTCTGTGAGCTGAGAAATGGCAGCCTACTTCTAGGGACCCAGGCCGTGATGCTGCGAAAGCCCGTTTCTCGATGATATCTTCTCAACCGCGAACCTGATTTGACCCTCATTGGAAGTCTGTGTGCTGAGAATTGGCAGCCTACTTCTAGGGACCCAGGCCGTGATTCTGCGGAAGCCCGTTCTCGATGATATCTTCCCAACCGCGTGACCCCTGGAGTTGAAACAAAGCTCGCGTGATCGCTAAGAGGCGTGGCGTTCCAGCAAACCTAGTCTGACGCCATTTGGAGCCCTCTGAGCTGAGATCCGGATGATGTCGTAGTTAAGGATTCACGACACCGGTGTCGTATTTAGCATTACCGATATTGTTATCGCGAGAAGGGTACAGCAACCCCTTCCCTCGCGACTTATGAAGTCGATCAAGTTTACTAACAACGAGCTTTGCAGCGCGTCGCTTCGAACGGAGACCAGGATTTTACTAGAGCGAAAAAAAATGTCACTCTGTCGGGACCCGAACCCATGACCTGGCCCTTAGCAGACTACGAGGCCACCAACTAGACCACCAGGGTGTGTTTGCATGAAGTTGGCTCTCTGTCAACCCCATGACTTCAGAGAAGAGAGAGCTAACCGGGCAAGGGCAAACGTCATGTGGGTAGACTAGTCTACACGGGTGGCCAGAGGGCAGGCTGTGGGCGGGTTGTGGGCATCCACAAGGTAGGGCAGGTTGTAGAGGGGGGTTGGGAGGAGGCTCCAACCCCCGCCAAACGGCTTGATTGTACAACGACGGGTTCGGAAGGTTGGGAGGCAGCCACAACGTCAGGCCACACCTCTGGATTGTGCAAGCACAGATCACCCGGGTTGGGAGGCATCCACAACCTTAGGCCACACCTCTTAGTTGTGCAAGCACCGATGATACAGGTTGGGGGGCAGCCACAACCTGTATCCAGACCTCCTGGTTGTGAAAACACCGGTGGCGCAGGTTGGGAGGCAGCCACAACTTTAGGCAAGACCGATGTTGTTGTGCTTCCCGGATCATAATGGTTGGGGGGTGGCCACAACCTGTATCCAGACCTCCTGGCTGTGAAAACACTGGTGACACAGGTTGGGAGGCAGCCACAACTTTAGGCAAGACCAATGTTGTTGTGCTTTCCCCGATCGCAATGGTTGGGGGTAGCCACAACCTGGATCTAGACCTCCTGGTTGTGAAAGCACAGGTGGCGCAGGTTGGGAGGCAGCCACAACTTTAGGCGAGACCGATGTTGCTGTGCTTCCCCGACCGATCATGATGGTTGGGGGGTAGCCACAACCTGGATCTAGACCTCCTGGTTGTGAAAGCACCGGCGGTGCAGGGTGGGAAACATCCACAATCTCAGGCTAAACCTCCTGACCGTGAAGGCACGGATGGCTGCGATAGAATGTGCCACGTGGGTGTGGAACGTCCTTCCTGCCGAACTAGAAATAAAGCAACCTCTAGAAACAATTGGATGACTTGACGCTTGCATAACCAAGATGATACGCATACGAATTGAAGCACGGGATGAAGTTACAGCAGTAGTAATAGTAAAGGGTATCGCGACCGCTCGCTGTGAAGACTTCCAACAGGTATTTACTTGATATATTCACCTGTCCGCGCAATGGCACGTTCATCAGTTCCGCATGCAAGCGCAGCAGAATGCCTACGTTCACGCACGAGCTGTATCGTGTAGATGACGCGAGCTCGACGCCGTCAAGGCCACGAAAGAATGTAGTTTTTCTTTTTTTCGCCGCCGGTCTCACTACACTCAACAAGGTTTTCGTGTGATTGAGAGCGAAGTTTCTGATTGAGAGCGAGATTGCGCGATGCGCTGTAGCTGGACTACCGCTGAGAGGTGGAGCTTGCTGCGTGACTTGAATTGAAGGCCTAGCCCGTAGCTACAAGCCGATACCCTGGTCATCCTGTGGGCGTCTCTCGTTGTGGAGCTACAGCGGGGAGCAGAATCTACAGCAGAGCTCACCGCCCGCGATCAAATCGCCCTGAAACAGTTTGAGGCAGGAATAGCCAATCTGGGGAAATCTAGCAACTTGTCTAGCTCCTAGCTGCAGCATCCGATCGCGATGACACGCATATGCTCGTGACGCTGCTGATGAGACCTTCAATTTGCGCCGCTTCTTGGAAGAGCCCGCCCCCTACTTCCCAAGAAATGGCAAGAGGCGTCTGGACCCGAAATTTCAATTTTTTGGCTCCCGCTCTCAATTTGTATACTCCGCTCTCAATCAGGCGAAAACCCTGTTACTCGCAATTTTTCGGACATGGACGTGGAGTTCTTCTGTACCTTACATGTACGCTATTATTTCCTTGAAATAATGAAAAGGTTGGATATATTTGCGGCTGCCCACCATGCATGACCTTCAAGTCTCTATACGCAGGTCCGCAACCCGGCATCCAGATGGCGTGAATGCTGATCTTTCATTTCATACCATTTATTGGGAGAATGTCTGGCCGATCATCGGCGACTGTTGTTCTTTCCTCCGACTGGGCTTTCCACAGGCTGACATACCCAGCGATCGAGGGGGAAAAAAAGGGATTAAGGAGACACATAAACACGCACAGAAAGACTACCCATTCGAGATATACCCAAAGTCGATTGCTCCACATGTAAAGGTATTTTTTTCTAGATTCACGGGAGGCCGCCGGTAGTCTAGTACCTATAACCAAGGAAGATCCTTGTCTGCTTTGAGCGCGATGGATCAAATGAAGAAGGCACCGCATCTAGTCGACGAGGTCAAATATTTCCTCAACGACGAACAAAATAAATCCCAACACACGCGCGTCACGTCGCAGTGGCAAAGCAAGGGGATGCCACACACGCGAGAAATGTTCAAGTACAACATACATCGGGCCCATCCAAAGATGAACAAAACATGGTGTCGAGGGGTAGCAACCGCGCTTTTCGTGAGACGCTGAAATAAGTAAAACAAAAATCAGAAAAAAACCGCCAGGTTCGCGTGGAGTCTATTGAAGCCGTCGACAAATGGACGTAAGAAAACAACGTTTGTGACAAGCAACAACGGTGTTGTCGCCCACGAAGTTTGAACGAGCTCCTACGAGCACCAAAATCAGGGTAAACAAGTGAGCTAGATTCACATTGCCGCCGGCACGAATTTATGTCCTGCTGAGACAAGGGTCCGCGGGCATGTGTGGGCATGCCATCTCGTATCGCATCCCCGCCGCAACGTCTGGCAACCAAACCAACGCAGGGACACACGGCTGCAACGGCGTGACTCGGGCGCAAGCTCTCTCTCCCACCCACCCTGTTCCCGGCTCCTTCGCAAGGTACCTATTGCCCACGACCCGTAAGTGTTGTCCCTCTGCCACATCCACCCACATCCCCCGTCTCCGCGATGATCTTTTCGCCCGTCTCTCCATCTGCCGTCCACAATGGAACCGCCCACGCCCCCCTCTGTCGTTTAACCCCTCTGCGTCCATGCTCGGCTCCAACAGGCATCGAACGCGAGGCGAGCCCAACACATCTTGGCTGATGCCTGAGAGTGAACGGGAAGAGCGTCGGGGGCGATGGGGCAGAAGGAGAGGGGATCGGCTTATCGAAATGACCATAGCTCTAGAAGTGTGGTGGAGACGCGGTGTTTTGCGGCCCTTATCCGGGGGCTCTGGGGGCTGGAGGGGGGTGGGAGTCGATCGATAGCGGAGGACATATTGGGTAGTAAGTGGTGCCGCGAGATGTGTGTTTAGACCCATACTGTGACCAACTTCTGCTCTGGCACGGAGCATCCTTGATATTTTCGTTCCACTCAACAGCGAATGTTTTTCCGCCCAACAGTGGCATGGAAATCGCAATTAGGACATCCGTTTTTCCAGCTGTGAGCCGGAGGCGGCGAAGAGGTCTAGGGAACGCATACAAGGGTCTGCCCGCGCCTCTCGTATTCGGCCGATGGTTTCACACAATATACCCCCGCGCCCCCGTCGCTCGATGAAACATACTGAAACACGTACCTCACGCGACCCGGCCGCGTCCGAAGCTGTGGAAGTACTTGTTGAGGAGATAATGAGAGCTCTGGGTAGGGGTGCACCTCCATTCGTCCTTCTTGCCCTCTTCTCGAACCAAGCACCACGAAGAGGCCCCAGCTGTGGCACACGCATGCACCATGTGGACCATAGAGCTGATGCACGACGCAGGGAAAAACTGGACGGACCTGCGAAGGTAGAAGACGTCGCAGCCCGTCGGGTGGTTGACCTTGCGCCCTTGGCCCCTCCCGGCAGTAATGTACTCTTCCACCGCAACCCAGATCGTCCACTCCCCTCCTTCTTGAACCTTGCCGTCTACGAGATGCCTGCTGTCATTCCCTTGGTGTTCGAAACAATAGGCGATTCTCCCGAGGGTTGTGGCTGCCTGTTCGCGCTCCCCGAAACGGCGAGCGTTGGTATCAACGTAGAGTCCAACGTCGTTCGCTCTCGACGTTTCCTGGATCATCCACTTGTTGCCGAACTCGGCGGCGTCCTTTACTGGACCACCGCGTAGAGTGCCTGTGCCTGCGCTAGCCTCCTCCGGCGAGTTTCCCCAATGGTTGAAGCAAGTCACGGAACCGTTGTGCAGGCCCGGACTACCTCGCCAGCAGAACGCACATACGTCGTCGTTGCAGAGCGGTCCGGACTCTTACCGACCGCAGCCGAGCTTATCTTTGTACAGCGCCTCTAGTTGTAGTGCGGTCGGAAGCGTTTCTCGGACAACAGATTACCAGTCAGCTCGGTCTACCCCCGTTAGTGATGCCTCCGTCCCGAGAAGGTCTTCATCCCACTCCACATTACCCCATGATCGCCCCGCCGACAGCGTGTCCGACAGAGCGGGCGCGAGCGGCAGGACGGAAAATACGTCCTGGAGGGTCTGGCGACAGAGGTCGCCTGCCGTGACCGTTCGCCTCTCCCACTTGCTTCCGGTCCANACCAGTCAGCTCGGTCTACCCCCGTTAGTGATGCCTCCGTCCCGAGAAGGTCTTCATCCCACTCCACATTACCCCATGATCGCCCCGCCGACAGCGTGTCCGACAGAGCGGGCGCGAGCGGCAGGACGGAAAATACGTCCTGGAGGGTCTGGCGACAGAGGTCGCCTGCCGTGACCGTTCGCCTCTCCCACTTGCTTCCGGTCCAACCCGAGGCTGTCCACTCGATTCCGTCCGCCAGCGATTTGATAGCTAAGCTGTCGTTCGTAGCACGCCAAATATGCCGGGCGTTGTTTCGTCCACTCGCCGAAGGAGCCGATGCTTTCAGTTCCTTGTTCTTGGCCTCTCCGACATTGCAATTCGTAACGACGCCTGCGAGTCAGACGGCGAACGTTTTGGCGCCAGAAATAATGGAGGGACATGGTCAATCAATTGGGTAGTGCATTCGCCGAATTTACGCCAACGCGCGGCAAGGGTTAGGATCGGCGAAGAAATACATCGAGGACTCGCCGAGCGCCATGTCTTCAATGCACCATCGGAACTCATTAGGGATAGGGCGCGAAGGCAGCCGGAGTGTATGAATGGGGAGCGTACGCGTGAGGAGGCGTGCGGCAGGCACNATCAATTGGGTAGTGCATTCGCCGAATTTACGCCAACGCGCGGCAAGGGTTAGGATCGGCGAAGAAATACATCGAGGACTCGCCGAGCGCCATGTCTTCAATGCACCATCGGAACTCATTAGGGATAGGGCGCGAAGGCAGCCGGAGTGTATGAATGGGGAGCGTACGCGTGAGGAGGCGTGCGGCAGGCACACAGCGGGCCTCACCTACGCAGGTGGCAAGTGGCTTTATTTCGCCACACAATGGTCTGGCGGCCATCACGAGCGAACTACGTTGTGGTGCGTTTGACTATAATAGTCGAGAGGCGTTCAGGTGGGAAGTACGCTGTGAATCCCGGCGCATACAGTACGGAAACTTCGACGGAACGCTTGACGGAGATGACACCTAGAGTACGTTCGATACATTCCCTTGGTTGGGCGGTGGTCCGCACTTCGATGGTTCGCATTTCAATGGTCTTGTTGTTCATTTGCGCAAAACGTCCAATGTTGACCAAGCTTACACTTCACGTTCGTTGACGAAGAAGACTGGAGGTGGCGCCGGCTTATATTCCAATATATCTCTCATGTAACCGTCCTCCTGTGCGACCCCGGCTGTTACGTGGGACAAACAGACAAATGTTGGCAACGTGGTGCCAGAGAAGATGGGACAGACCCACGCACCCTGGGGACAAGTTACANTATTCCAATATATCTCTCATGTAACCGTCCTCCTGTGCGACCCCGGCTGTTACGTGGGACAAACAGACAAATGTTGGCAACGTGGTGCCAGAGAAGATGGGACAGACCCACGCACCCTGGGGACAAGTTACAGCACGGGTTCGTGCCAACTAGGTACTCTCGAACGCAAGGGAGTTCGCGCAAATAGGGCCCGCGTGTGTAGGTGTGATGGCGCGCAGAAGGGTAACCGTCTCCGAACTCACGAACTCACCGTTAACGACCAGATTGCGAGCGATGTCAAGCCCTTTGTGGATGGTGCCGAGAGCAACCCTTATAACTCGAGTTGCCTGCTTGACCTGTCGACACCGCTTTCGAAAGAGAATCCCATGGTATTTACGAATCGGTAACTTCAAGCTGCTTAGGTACACATACCTCGACTGCTGTAGTGTAGGGGTTGCTGAGGCCTACCCATATTATGCGTCGGGGTGTGTACAGAGAAACGAGCGGGCAAAAGGGCTGGTGCCAAGTGCGTCGCCGTCGGGCAAACGGGCTGTCGCCGGGTATCGCTTGCTGTTCAAATCACAGAGGGGTCCCTAACTTTTTCAATGTCGTCCATCCCGGTGTCTGGCGGGATCACGCAATCGTCGCATCTCTACTGGTCGCACGCAAAGTTCGCAGGCCTGAAGGGATTGTAAACAGCAAAATGCGCGTTGCTCCGTACCTGCTCTTGCTGGGAATTTTGCAAAACATGCAAGCCTTCCGCAGTAAACGAAGGTGAGCGCACCACGAAACAGCTCCAGCTGCAAGCCTTGACGAGGTCTTGGAAGGCATTGCACACAGCCGCCTTGCCAGCGGGGGTGACGGGCTCCACACTGATGCGATCTGCCACCTCCATAGCGACCATGGCCCGAACATAGCGGCCCTGATTATAACACATGGGATGAAGGAGGTGGGGGTGAACCNACGGGCTCCACACTTATGCGATCTGCCACCTCCATAGCGACCATGGCCCGAACATAGCGGCCCTGATTATAACACATGGGATGAAGGAGGTGGGGGTGAACCCACAGTCGCATCTCCATAGTGAGGCACACACTGATTCGCGATTCGCGGAGTTAGGTTTTAAATCGGACGAGAGAAGGCGGTCCAAACATTTATTCCGGTGTCGCCCTGTTCTGCACCACTCCCCTCCATATTTCGCCTACGGCGGCATCGCCAAGAAACGATGTAAACATGTCATGACAACGTGTTCGTAAACGTCGAGAGAGGCCGCATAAAACACCCTCTAAATTGCTGAATTTCGTAGCTTTTGACCGGTAGGGTTGGCGTAGGGGCCCCGATATATATAGAATCGACACAAAGCAATTTTTTTCTTCTGCTTCCATGTATCCAATCGCTCCTATGCCCCAAGTCCTCGACATGACCTAAGGCGTGCAGTCTATAATAGTCATATTCAGCTACTTTCAAGGGCATGTTAAGACTCTCGGGGACCGAATTACCGGACTGGTCGTTAAGCTGCAAAGCGTTTCGTTGGGCCCCGGTTCGGTGTGAGGGAAGTAACACGACACAGCAGTGGTTGTGGTGTCTCTTTCATATGCCATTTTCAGAGGTGGACCACCGGCGGTAGCGAAGCAACATACAGAATGCCACCTCGTTGGCTATATCCCATTGTTTATCTCTGCCCACCAGCCGTACTCACCAGATTGTCCGGACTGGAGAAGATTGGCGCGAGGAGGAAGGGGAAGATACTGGGAACGAGCCACAACTGTTGACTAGTCAACGCCGACCCACCTCCAGCACTGGTGATGTCGGCTATCGGCGAGACGTTCGGGGGTAGCATCCGGCGCTATGCAAACCGAGCACGAACAATCTCGGAACCAGCCGGATCAAGAGCATCCATCACAAAGCCCATGATCTTCTTGCCCGAGTTAAGCGCAGACTGCGTCAGCAGTAACATCAAAGATTCGGGGGTGGGGGTGGGGTCAGAGTCAAGTTAGCTGGCAGGTTACCGGGGTTGAATGATACCTCGCCCGTCAGGGCACATGCCGCTTGGCTAGAAATCCGAGCGTCGTTTTGCTCATTTTGGGAGCAAATTGACGAAGGGATGTGATCACGTTTGTGAGTGTAGGAGACCTGGGAAACGAGATCCACCACATGTCCAATGTGGACTTGCCTGTCTGACCTATACCACACAATTGAGGCTGACATCTCGATTAGACCGAACCAACCTTACGGCATCTGTGTACCTGGTGCAAAATGCCCATGAACGTACTGGAGTGCGTCAATCTTGAATGGGGCGGCATCGACTACTCTCCCCACTCTACAACAGTGAAGGAATCCAACCATATGATGAAGTAGATCCACCACTTACTTCCTCCGCTAAGCCCAACCAACGTGCGGCACCGTTTTGTGCATCGCCGCTCAGCGAAGATACGGTGATGTCCATAGGCTTGGGCTTGTTTCGTGCTTTGTTTGG